GGATTTTCTGGTTCTGATAGGGGGTAGGGTGCAATATAACACCCCTGCTTAAAAAACAATTGCAAGGATAGACTAGGGTGGGGTAGCTTTGATCACGGGTACAATTGGAAAGACTGTCGGGGAAACTACGACAGCACGATTTGCACCCTAGCTCCTCTTCTTCTTCCTCTTCCTCTTCCTCTTCCTCTTCCTCTTCCTCTTCCTCGACCTCGTCCTCATCCTCGTCCTCGTCCTCGTCCTCGTCCTCGTCCTCGTCCTCGTCCTCGTCCTCGTCCTCGTCGCCCTCTCCACTCCACTATTGTCATCGTGATCGCCTTGATCCTTCCAATCGCAACCTGCCTGTTCATCAACCCGAACCCCCTCCGGACCCTCTCCCTTCCCTGCACCTCCTGACTGTTATTGAAAGTTCATTCAGTGCGTCAAGGAATTATGAGAGGGGCAGCGGGTTGAGATGGCACCCCAGCAGGCCTCGTCCACTCCAGACTTGAGGCCTCAGCGTCAGCTCCGTCGTCCTCGCTTCTCCCTCCCTCATCACGACGACCTGCAGTCAACAGGGTCAGGCGTCCCCGACCCCCCGCAAGCGTCTGCGGGCACCGCCATGTCTCGATCCTTGCTCTCCTGCACCGCCGCTGCAAGGGCTTGCATCCCCTGGGGTGGGAGTCAGCTCCTAGAGGGCCGCAGGAGAGGGAGGAAAGAAACCTGTCTGGAGATGGCAGTCCATTCTACATCCCCGATGGCCAGAACTCTGTCCCCGACCTCCGAGGAAAGTCTCAGATGGAGCAAGCAGGAGCCTAATAAAGGAGGCGGAAGAGGAGGAGGGGGAGGAGGGGGAGGGGGAGGAGGTGGAGGGGGAGGAGGGGGGGGAGGACGAGGAGGAGGAGGACGAGGAGGAGGACGAGGACGAGGACGAGGACGAGAAGGAGGAGTAGAAGGCTGATGATGAGTCGGTGCTGCCGAGACACCCATCCTCTTCACACATTGCCGACACTCGTCCTCCCTCTCAGCTCTACCGTACACCTCTCCACCCACCTGAAGTCCAGCAGTCTGAGCTGGAGAATCCGAGGAGACTTCGTCCACGACCTGCCAGACTGGTCATCCTCTGAAGAAGCACCAGGAGCAGGCGTGAGGGAGGTTTTACAGCGAAGGGACGGAGAGGCTTTTGAGTCTCCAGGACTGGCGCCTGCCAAACAACCCTCAGCCATGACGGTATCGACGAGAGACTTTCACCACCGCAGCATAGCGATGAGACGCCGCTGAGTCGATGGGAGCCGAGTGTCTCGGCGCGATTCTCCCCTCCTTCACTCTCCTGCGATCACGAGTCAAGCTTCCTCCTCCTCCCACCCAACGAGTCCTTACGAATGATGCTCAAACAGGCCTTTCTCGACTTGCTGCATGATCGACTTGTGATCTGTCTGTAGGCCTTGGTGGAGCATCGTCAGGACAGGACCTTCCCCGTGCCATGTCCTCACATGCGATGCGGTTGCGATGTATCCTGGCCGTGTGAACGTCCACGTCAGCGCGGGGAAATCCTTCCTTGTCCACCAATCGACCGTTGAGACCAGGTTTGCCCGGCATGTTGTCCAAGACCTTCATGCAGCGTGAGTCGCGCATCTAGCAACAGACGCAGTAGGAGGAGAAGTTTTACATCGATCAGCTGCGCAATCTCAGACTCGATGGCCCTTGCCTTGTCCTGGTCTTACTTCGTCAGAGTTTGAGAGCAACCGCGTCCCGCTGCAAGAGCATCATGAGACAAGCTCGTCGAGCCCGAGCATTGTCTGCAGCATCCTTCTGCATGCATTGTCTCCATCCTCGGCATCGCCTGCCATGGCGCTCACCTGCAGCGCAAAAAGCTTCTGCAGCTCCTCCTCGTCGTTCGCCATGCTTGTGCTACCACATCCCCCCTCAGTCCATTGCAATCAACTCAGTGCCCTGCTCAGTGCCGCAGTGTCAGTGCCGGCCCACTGCCTATCGCCGGGGCCGTGCCGGGGTGCTCACTGAGTCAGTAGGGGCCGTGGCCAGCCTGGAACACTGATCTCCTTAGCTGCGACAGTTATTAGCCTTGAATCGAAGGACAATCAGAATAGTCGAGGGGAGTGAGTTCACCCGAGTCGCGCCGCCCGGCGGCCGGCCCGCCGGGCACGGGAAAAAAGAAATTTGTGTAAAAGCTTTTTTTTATACAACAAAGACATTTTTGTTTGTTCTATCTGGTTTGCTTTGAAAGACTTTTTTGCGAATTTGATGGGGAAGGAAACGAATGGTTGATCAGAAGACGAGGACGAGGACGAGGACGAGGACGAGGACGAGTGAGGAGGATGAGGACGAGGACGAGGACGAGTGAGGACGAGGAGGACGAGGAGGACGAGGAGGACGAGGAGGACGAGGATGAGGATGAGAAGGCTATAAGAAAGAAGAGTGAGGGTGTTGTCAGGAGGCAAAGGGAGGGAAGGTAGGGAGAACTCTGAGTAGGCAAGGAAAGAGCGTCATTATCATCACGATAACAGCAGCGATGGCGATGAGGATCAGAGATTCTGATGATGCTGCTTCAGAGCGTTGTGGCTCCATCGTTCTGGAGTGATGGACAGTCAGTTGTCGAAGATCCTTGAGAAGAGGAGGCAGCAGGTTGAAGAGACTTCATCTGCCAACAAGACGACGAGCGAAGCTGGTTGACTGGATCATCACAAATCTTTCATGCTGCCGTATGATTGTTCTGCAGGGATTGATGTCGAAACCACTGAGATTACCAGGGCAAAGACGTCGAGGGCGTCAAGGTGGGCCTTGTTGTGTTCAACAAATGCTGATCACCGTGTTGTCAACTAGAAACAACAGGGCCGGCAAAACTGCAAAGATCAAGAATAATCCCTTCAAGGCACCAGCCGGCCGTCCTGATCATCTGGCAGCACCTGCCCACACAACCACAAGAAGTAAAGCGCCGGAATCGGCGAGCGCCATGAGCTCAACTTCTTCATCTGTCCTCAAAGTGCGAACCTGCTACCTTCCCGCTCAATCATACTCCTCTTTTCCCTGCCACACCTCCCCTGTCCTGTCCCTCCTCTGACCTGCTTCTCCTCCAAAGACGTCCTCCTCCTCGCCCTCCTCTTCCTCCACCTCGTCGTCCTCTTCTTCGTCCTCTTCGTCCTCAGACCTCCTTCTGCTCTGACCTTTTGCTCTGACCTTCTCCTGCTCTGACTTCGTGCTATCAAGGCATCAGCAGCAGGGGGGAGGCCACCGTCAGCTCGGAGCGGGCTGAGCTCCGCAACGATCGAGATGAAGTCCATCTCCTCCAACAAGAGCCCTCTAAGGGACGAGATCATCTCCTTCAGCCTTCCCCAGGACAACCAAGACCCCTCCCGAGCGTCAGTCTCGGGTGTCTGGACTTTCAACGACTTTCACTCCCAGTCAGGGTCCCGCAGCTTCGCTCCGTCCCACTCCCACCTGTCCTCCAGCGAGATCGAGGAGGCTCCCCGTTCTGTATCGCAGGCCTCGGGCCCGAACGAGTTGGTGTCGTTTGTGGGGGAGCATGCGATGAGGGACAAGTATGTTGCGGTGAGAACGAACTGTCTTGTTGGGTCAATTGCGGCCTTCAAGGTCGAGCACTGACATGCTGGTTGCAAGTACGAGTGCGAGGAGGTGCAGCAGGAGGAGGGGACCTCGTTCTTCCAGCGGCTGAGTCTCTTCAAGAAGGAGTTCCTGGAGAACTGGGAGACTTATACCAGCAAGACATGCCTGCTGATGATGGTGTGGGGTTCTTTCTTGGCTGTTGGACTCGTTGCTGCAGTGATTGTCACCTTGAAGACAAAGAAGAAATCCCCCAGCACCGG